TCCGTTCCCGCTGTGCCGCGTTTCCAATCTCAAATCCAACATTCGAATGGTCGATTCTCAATTTCGTACGTTCGAATTTCAAACTTTCAATTTTGAATCTTCCAACGTTCGAATCCTCAGTTTCCAATCGTTCGAATTTTCAATTTAAAACCTTCAAAGAATCGAATGGTCGATTCTCAGACATTCGAATGATCAATTCTCAGATACTCGAATTTCCGATTTTTAAACATTCGAATTTCAAGCTTTCAATTTTGTATCTTCCAACGTTCGAATCCTCAGTTTCCAATCATTCCAATTTCAAATTTAAAACCTTCAAACATTCGAATTCTCAATTTTCAATCTCCAAACACACAAACTCTCAATTTTCGATCTTCAAACAGACAGATCCCCAATTGATCTACTCCTTTCTTCAACAAAAAGGAGCACTCCCACTTATCCAACCGCAAAGGAACACATTCCCGCGTTTAACGTGAAAATTACTGGAGCAAACAGATGTTCAATTTGTCGAATCAAAGCGTTTCCTGCCGGCTCGCTTTCCTATCCTTTCCCTCGCAGGTAAAAGCTGCTTCATTATCCACAAGAGCACAGATATTACGGCGCGCCGATTATCGGGTTTACAACCGGCGTTCAATTTGTTAATGGGGGGAGCGCGCTGATAAACTTGCCCGAAAACTCCATGAAACGGGACCGCGGAGTCTTAAGGTTAATTGATTAGCAGAACCGCGCCGAGAGCCGAGCCGGTTGGGAAACACGGTGCACGCACGGATTTCGAAAGGCCCGGCCCACGCAGCTCGTGGTCCCGTCCCGACCAGTTCGAGAAAGTGGCCTGCGATTATGATAAGTAGCCGCAATAAGCCTAATGACATAAATCGTGCCGAGAGATACGTATAGAGAGATATCGTTGTTCGAAGAATAAACCGGGCCGTGCGTTAATCCCGTGATTATTATCGTCGCAATTGGGACAGATTCTATCTTGACTTCGAAACGGACAATGAAGTCCACTGTGAGATCGTTTCCGCAAACATTCCGTCGGTTTGATCGGTGTCCAATCTCGTGGGACTCCTCAATGAAGTCGTAATCCCGTGAAGGTCGACGTATGCGTAATTACGCTGGCTTATCATCGTGCGAGAGAATGAGAACGGTCATATAGAACCGATATCGAATGTATCGGAATTTCCGAGCCATTCGACACAGAAGTATTCCAGGCATTTCGATTGAAAGCTGTTCGATTACCAACCACTGCAATCGTAACGTGAAAATATTAATTATAGATTCAACGGATACTTCTAGTCACTGTATAATATAAAAATTCTAACTGGAGTCGCGGTTAATTAACACTAGATTTACTGACATTTATACAGTTTGTTCTATTGTTCTTAGAAAAATTGTCGTCCGTTCATTTAGATCTTAGAAATTAGAAATTTAAGAGTAGACAATTAGGATACATATTTACATAATTACGTTACTAAAAATCGACCGAAACATTTACCAAATAATGCTTATAAAATTCGATATGAGTCAAATTGACTCGTTCCGTAAATCTAGTATTAATTGAGTACTCTGCTAACCCGTCATTAAACGCTTTCCCATTTAATCTATAAAACAATCGTATTTATCTACAGTTAATAAACTCGTTAGAGTAGATTCCGAATACACGTTGAAACGAGAGAAAAGCAAGCAGCCATTCAGGTATCAATCGAAAGAGAACGAAACAACGGGGAAACGGCATACTTCTGCAGTTCCTCTCGCCACGCGGTTTCACCGGAAGTAGTCGCCTTGACGACCAGCATCGAGACTTGTGACAGCGCCCTCCTCAGTCCGGACAACGCCATTCCTTCGCCCAAATGGACTTTTCCTGACCCCGACGAGCTGGGCGACAGTGTTTTCGAGGTCGAGCCATCCATTTTCTTCATCAGTCGCCCGATGAGACCTTCGCCGGACTCCCGAAACGTCGGTTTCACGTTCACTTCAAACGCGCACGGACCACTGGTCTCTTCCCGCGGGATTCGCGCAGAGACTGGCGCCCGTTGGAGCGACCATTGTTTGGTAATCGACGAAAATTCGTGGACTCGAGATAAATAAATGCTTAACGATTCGCACGCGCGTAATCACTCGCGACTATCACCGATTCAGGGACGAAAGGGTTAGAAAAATGGGGAGGGGAGCGCGTGCAGGGCCGTGAGAGAGATGCCGACGGAGGAACGGGTCGAACGTTCTCAGGCGACCGTCTTGGAGGCTCGACGTATTATTTCGGTTCGACTTGCACCGGAATTTCGGCGTCTAAGTTTAAGCGTTCACGCCCGAGGCCGCTGCTCTAGCGGTCGCCGTTCAGACGGGGCGAGCGCATCGTCAGAGCCAGATATCGCAGCGTGTCCAGAGCCACTGGAAGATCCAGATCAACCGCTTGCACCACATCCGTTTAGCGACGACCCGGCCGCGCGTTCGTCGCGACCGGTTAAGAGGGATCCACCACTGGCGTGTCCGACCCGATCAACGCTCGATCACTCGATTCGAACCATACACCCGGTATAGAACTGGCCGAGCACTAAGGGCGACACTCGTGGCACACACGCACAACGTTCTCCCTTGAATGATCGAAGGGGACACGTAATCTCGATCGACTCGGATTTTATCGACACCTCGGATCCTCCGGGAGGATTCGAACGATCATTTCGATCTCGATATTTCGCGCGACGCGAAAGGGCGCGTCGAGAGGAGAAATTCGAGGTTGGACTCCTCTTCTCTCTCTTTCTCTCGGATAAGCAGCCCGATGGCCGACGCGGCAGCTGATTTACGCACTTCGCGGACTATTTATAAAAACGAACGCGTCACGCGGGTGGCGGAAATGATCGGGAAAAGAAGAGAAAAGGGATCGAAGGGGCGGAGAGGATCGGGCAGACGGCGCGGGGATGATCTCTCGCGGCCACCGAGCGGAGGGCACGCGTAATTAACGAAAGCTCCGTTGGCGAGCGGAGGCTCGGCCGACACTGAAGCGATCCAATTTCGACCCTTGGCGTGCGATTTTCCTTTTGCTGCGTGTCCACGGCGACGCCGTTTGGCAACGCCTCGCGATCGGCTAGATTCGTTTCATTCGCTAGAGATGGAGCCGCGATGACAAGCGACAACGACAAACGGCCCGTCGGGAGAGACGCCGCGTCCGGATGCAACGGGAGACAGTTCGGGAGCGTCGCGGCGCACGCGGTGTGCAGACTCGCTGCTACGGAGTTGGCTGAGTACAGGCTTTGGATGGGTTCGTCTGAGATATTTTCGTGTTTTCGAACGGGGGTTTCTTTGGGAAATTCGGGGTTCGTTTTGTGGGTAGTACTATTGGTTGGAGGTTGAAATGTATTGTACTTTATTTATAAGATGAAGTTTTGGATCGTAGGGAGATGAGAGGTCTTGCAAGCTTCTGATGAAGAACTCTTCTCGCAACGTGAACTGTTGTAGATATGGAGCAATAGCAGGTTATCAATATCTTTTTTTCTATCTACAAATAATATGTATATGTAAATCAGTAGGAATTGGGTATCCAGCAGTTCGATCCTCTCTTACTACTAACTTTCTTCTATTTGAAGATTACGTCTATATGTACAAATCAGTAGCAAATTGGGTATTCATCAGCTTAATCGTCTGTTATAACTATCTTTTTTCTATCTGAAGATCAATATGGTATGTATAAATCAGTAACAAATTGGGTATCCATCAGCTCAATCCTCTGTTACTACTATCGCTTCTCTATCTCAAGATCACATCTATATATATAAATCAGTAGCAAATTAGGTATTCATCAGCTTAATCGTCTGTCATCACTATCTTTTTTCTATCAGAAGATCACTACGATGTGTATAAATCAGTAACAAATTGGGTATGCGTCAGCTCAATTCTCTACTACTATCATTTCTCTATCTCAAGATCACATCTATATATATATAAATCAGTAGCAAATTGTGTATCCATCAGCCGAATCCTCTATTACTACCATCTTTCTCACCCAAAGATCGTATCGTGCGTCGAGAAAACGTGACATGTTTTTCATCGTCAAGACAAAAAAGAAAGGGGAAAAAAACGTTGCGTCTGCGACGAAATAAACGTCGAGCGTCAGCCTCGAAACGCAAAGGTCTCCGTCTGATGGACGACGAGCGTCGAGAATCCCTGGTTCGCGCGCAGAGGCGTCTTCCGCGATTAGCCGGGTGCTATTCTTGTCCCGAAAAGCAGGATTTCTGCCGATCGCGGCAGGGAAACAGGAACGAGCGGTCGCTATTTTCGCGGGGTCGCGGCCCGCGTATTGTGGTCCAGTTTCCGACGGCGACGTCCGACGTATTTTCGGCGCCGGCGAACATGCCGCGGCGCCATTGACGGAATTATCGTGATACGCGAGGATACACCTGTCGGTCGGCTGAATGGGTGCTTCTCAAAACACTCGACAGAGGATCTTTGTATACCCGCCCGAACGGTTTTACGACGGCCGTCCATCATCCGCGTTTAGCGCTCGATCCTTTCGAATAACTTGGAGAACCATCGGCGAAAGAATTCGCGGTAATAGAGCATCACACTCGAAAATACAGTTGCCAGCTTCGTTTATTCACTAGACTTTTATTCAGTTTCGTCTGTTCGGTTTTACACGATTCTTGTTCGTGGCTGTTCGAGATAGAAGTCGCGAGAGAATATAGTACTTCAATTAGGTACTTACAAACATCCATACGATTCAGTCACAGCGAACTAAATTAATTAACAGACAAATTAACCTACTATGGACAGTACATCGAGTACCAGTGAAACTCCCCATCGCGTTCAACGTCGATTAACTTGATCGAAAACGCGTTCCTTAATGAAAACGTTCACAGCTAACTGTCCGAACCAGCTTGACCGAGAAAAATCGCGAGATCGTTAACTCCGCCAACGTATTCGCTCGTAGTGTCTCTCAACGGTCGATGATTCGGAAGGAAACGGAGGAAACTCGATAGAGAAAGAGAGGAAAAAAAAATAAAAAATAAATGCACCTGCTCAATAAAGGTCCGGTCTCGCCCTTGAAGCTGATCCTGCTGAACGTCCTTCTCTGGAAGTTGCTGAGGATGCCGCGCCTCTGTTTCTCCGCGTTGCTCCTGCTAGTTTCGTCCGCGGAGTCCTCGCACAGTTTCACCGCAACCGCGGCCGCAGGCACCGTCGAGTTGACAAGTAGCTCGTTCAACGGGAGAACGTTGTTGCCGGTCTCCGAATGCTCCAAGTCCAATTCCACGTTGCTTCCTTTCCTGTGTGGCCCTTTTTCGGTCATGAGCATTTCGTCCGGCGATTTCCACGTGGTCCCTTCCCCCGTTTTCGTATTTATAGCTGCCGTCCGACGCGATTCGACTGACAGCGCGGAGCCGGGCGCACCGAGCCTCCGCGAACCATCGATACGTCCACTTAAGCGAACGAACTCGCCAATTATTCGATATTATATATCGAGCACCTCATTCGAGGCCGGGCCGATCCGGCCGCGGCTGTGAATCCAGCAATAGTCTCAGCACCAAGGTTCACGCGGCTCGATCGCCGCCACGTTTCTCGCCGCAACGGACGTCAGACGGATTTACGATACGCCGGTCGATGCCTTAGACTTCTCACCAAGGATCCAGCATCTCCAGTTGTCCCCTTTCAAACAGAGTTTCTCTCTTCTATCACAGAAACGACGAAACTTGCTTCGAAGTCCACGAAGAACCGTTCCCAGCGAAGCGGTCAACGCGGAACAATCGAAAAGCTCGCGCTAGAACGACGGACGGCACCTTCGGTTTCGCTTCCAATCAGTTCCACGAACATCACCAAAGAATCCCGTACAGTCGAACGCCCCCTCGTTAGCGATGCAAAGCGGACACGCGTTGAAATTCACCGTGGCGTTCCAAGTTCCACGGCCACGTCCACGGCACACACCGTCCGCGCGATTTCTCCCGCAAACGCGCATTCTATCGTTTATTCTCGTCCCGTTTCGTCATCGTTATCAATTTTCCGCGAAGCCCGCGGCGCACACGGTGACCGATATTTCCGTGGCGAGGCGTGCGTCGTTCATTGAAACGAGCGGCCGATAACTTCCGCCGCGAAGGACGATCCTTTAGTCTTGGCACTCTTCCTTCGATCCCCTGTACACCGATCAATCCATCCAACATCCACGCGGATGATGCTCGATCCTCTTCTCCGATCGAAACTTCGATTTCCTCGGCTCGCCGAATTCACCAAAAGTCCACGGCGAAGCAGCGAAAACACTAGATCCCGCGATCGTTCGTCTCGGTCCGTCGGTTATCTCGCTGGAGTCGCGTTTCCTTCCGTCGCAGACAGGCAGCGTCTAATCGCCCGTTGGCGAACCATATTCTGCCGGTTCTCCGCGTTTCCGTGCGCAGACCACGCGCAACTTCCACCAGCCGGTGACACGGTGCCGCGGGTCGCAGGGGCCGTTCATAATTCAGGACTCACGCGTCTGACGCTCGTCGCCGGCCGATGGATCGCGATCCATCCGACTCCGTCCACCTTCGCCGGTTGCATAAGAACGTGCAGGTCCGTTTCCGGCGACCCGCGCCGCGCCGGTCGATCAAGGCACACACGTTCTCCACGGCACCGGGTTCCGTCCGTCTTTCCGGCGGCCAGCGGGGATCTAGTGGATCGGCGGCGGCCCGCTCCTCGGGTATCGGCGGCTTCGAAAACCCGCTCGGAACCTGTCAACGGGAGAACCACTTCTGAGATTGCGTGCGCCGCGGCATAAGCGAAAATAATCCACGCACACGCTCGCCGCCGCCGGCGCACACAATGAAACACCGCGCTGTGCCGTGCACACGCGTGTGGGAAACGCGTGGAAAGGTGGGCGCGAACGCGCGTGCGAGCGAGCGAGCGAGTGCCCACTATTCCCGAGAGTTGTTTGCGTGCGGAAAAAACGCGAGACCGGCACACCGACACGCGCCACGGTGGGAATGTTGGCCCGTCCGTGTGCAATCAGCGACGGAGCTGTGTTCCGCGACAGCCGCGCGGCGGAAAGACGCGACATGTGGGCAGGGGCAGAGATAAGATTATGCGGAACCGACGAGAGCTGATTTTTTTCGATGGTGACACGATTCTCTACCGGATTTTTCTCGTTCCAGGACATTGTTCGATGGGATTGACGGTAGATTTGTGTTTCTTGAGAATTATGTTCGCTTGTAACCGTTACACCGGTTTAATTGGGTTATAAGGAAATGTGATTGTAATCGTTTCGAGAGAGATGAGGTTTGTGGTACTCTGTATTTTAGATTCAGAGTTAGTTTTATCGATGGAATTTTATGATGATTCGGTTAGATCCGCGTGTTTAGCTTCCACTCTTCTGTTTCTCGTCGCGTGGGTATGTTTTGTGTTTGTTCAGGGATGAAGTATTTTGGAAATCGACGTCTGGGGGAACCCTTTTGATAGGAACGAGCGGGACAGTGACGTTAACGCGACGACGGTGGCCCGCGAATCGATTTTCGCTCGAGCCGCGTGTCCCTTTTCTCCGTTGGCTGATTTTTTTCGCCGATTTACGTGTCACTGACAGCATAAATAGAGAAACGAGCGGTACGTACGCCTCCTCGATCGCCAACACGTCGGTACGTGTCACACATTCTCCCGACTGGCGTAAGAGGCACAAGTGGCTTTATACATATGTATGTAAATGTAAATAAGCGAGCGCGTAATGTAAACCGTGCGCAAAAATACGCGCGAACGGCCGATTATCGCGACGCCTGGCGACACCGGAGTCTCGGCGTATTCTGATAATAGGCGTTTCGGGTTTATTTCGATCGTCTCTAAACACGTTCTTTCTGGATTTAATCCCGAAACCTCTAAATATAACGCGGAATAGATTTAATCACCGTATTTCCACCGTAGATTTCCGGATTCATTGTTCGGATCTATTTCGTGGATCTAGAACCTTGGCAACACGTCAGATAGGTTTCTCTGACGTACTCTTATCTCTGTTATTATTTTTCAATCGCGACAGTTCTGCTCGTAGTATCGCGGATACTACGCTTTCCGCTTAATAATTCCATCCGGTTGTATAACTGAAATCAACGAGCATCTTTCAGTTGTTAATTGAACCTCGGTCAAACTGGCTGCCGTGTCCTAGAATCTAGGGATCGATCGACATTCGATTAAATCGCGGTAACTGCACCAAAAACTCATCCGTTTCATCTTAACGATTCTGAAATGGGAATTAGACAGAGTTTTATTCTTTGACTCGTTCAGTAAGGTAAACAATGTTGAAATACTGCCACAGGCAACGTGTAAGAATAGACCAAACACCTTGTAGACCTTCATGATCCAAGCTGACTGCATTACCGATCTAGAATTCCACTGTTTTATCATGGAACTTTGTATGAAATACAATTCAAAAGAATCAAGATACAAAGCTACTTTTAAAATGCGAATATCTCGAATATCTTTTTCATTGAACAACGGTGTGTAATATATATTCGCGAGAAAAAGAAATAGATCATTTTCGATAATTTCGGTGCTACGACTGCCATCTACGAGGAGGACAGCTCACCAGCCGCAGCCATTTTGGTTCTAAATTTGAAGCTGAGGAACCGAATATTCAAGTGAAAATTTATTTTAAACAAACTGGGCGAACTATGTCTTTATGTGCTTCTAAGAAATCGTATTAAATTAAGTGACTATTACGCTGAAGACGAACCCTGAAAATCCGATACAGTTATCTGTCTACACGTTGCTGCATTTCCGGTGCAATCCGCTCGGGTATACAACAGTTGGAAGCGTTTCAAAGAATGCGAACGAGAGAGGAGCTCGAGTAAAAACATTGTGCCGAGTTAATGGTTAATTTGGTATTGTACAAAGTTTAATTACAACTACAGCGTATGATACATATGTACAAATTTACATAATGTTCTATCATTTGAGAAGATTCCTACATCTAAGCTCCATCGTGAGGAACGCCTTCATGTTCGGGTCCTGCACTTTTTCAATGATCGCCTTCTGCAAATCGGTGTCGCTCTTTTCAATAGTGGCGCTCAGCTTCTCCGCGTACTGGATCCACACGCAATTCACGCAGCCGGACATGCAACAATTCGTGGGCTCCGATAAGTCGTCGATCGACGAGGAATCTTCATTTTCCTTTTTCTCCGTGTTCTTCTCGCACGATGACGTTTCCCCTGTGTCGCGGACGCACTTCCTACACGTGGAAAATATTTGTCGACAGTTGCACGATTGATTTCTAGTAATTAACCGAGCTAAATTCATCGTTGCATTGGTTCCACTTTGATGATGCACCTAGCTGGGAAAAGAAGTTGCACACGCGTAATAACGAAAGTGTACGATTAGCTAATTCGTATGATTAATGATCACGTTGCAGATCTTTTGATCTATCCGATGAAAAAAAATAGCGATGATTTATGAAACGAGAGTTGTCCTCTAACCTCCTTGATTACTGCAGATATAACTTGATATCGACTTGAGTCGGACCTTTCTAGATGTCTCTAGTTGTAACATGTTTCACTGAGATATATATTTATATATTATTTTTAACGGTATATTCATTCCTTTTTATAACTTTGGTGCATTGAAATTAATTTTATGTATTTGGTATGTTATATGTTTAAATACTCGTAAGTGAAGTACTCTTTTTGCGCGTGCATCATTTGAGATCATTGGGAGGACGGTTTTGGGCGGGGATAATTTAAAAAGTATGAATTTTTGTTGAGGAAGATATAGGGAACATTAGAGCATTTAATTAATTAATTAGAATTCGGAGCGATAGTTGAGTGAGAGATGTTGAGTGAAGTTGGCTGCGTTTGGTGAGCTTTGATTTGAATTGGAGCGCGCCACTGTCAGGAGAGTTCAAGCTGACAGCAGACGTCGACCACGTGAGACGTGCGCGTTGTTTGTTTTTGGAAAATGGGTAGGAAAATTCCCGGGAAAAAGCATCGGGGGGTGAAGGACCCTTTTAAGCAACACGCGAGGCGTCAAGCTGAGTGAGTTACAATATAATTCGGTATTATTCACAAGTCTTATTTATACAGTTCGGGAATTCGTGTATTATAGGTTAGAAACGAAGATAAACGCTCCGCCAAAAGATGTAGAAGAGCAAAAGGTACCCAAAAGTTTAGAGAGGGTAGTGAAACTGAAAGAAGCGGTGAAGTCTGGTAAAATAGGTAAACTGAAAAAGAGGAGAAAGAAGAAGAAGGCACTAATAACGGTAGGGGATGTTCCAAAGCCTTTACACCCAAAATCAAGACCGGAGAAGGTTGTTCCTATCTTCCAGCAAAAGCAGGGTGAAAGTAAGGAACATTTCCTGAATAGAGTCAATAGAGACACTCATAATTTTATTCAAGAGACTGCGTTCGAGACAAAATATGGAGTCCAAGTAAATAGAAATCCAGAAACAGGAAATATTGAGGGGCTAACAAAATGTAGTATGAATGAAATAGATAAAATTGAAATGTTAAGAGCGAAACATAAGAATATTAAGAAGAAGAAAAAAAAGAAGGGTACAGTTGAAGTTAAGATGACAAAAAGTCAAAAGAAGAGGGAAAAATTAAAGTTGAGAAAGGAAAAGAGAAAACTAGAGGATGTGAACGACTTTGAGAATATCAAAGATGAAGTAGAGTTTGGTGAAGTTGTTCATGAACCACCGCAAATAAAAATTAGACCTAAGGCAGCTGACACTGCTATCAGTGCAAAGGTTCATATTCTTGAAGGTTTATGTTTCCTTCTGCTTTCAGTTACAGGAGTTAACAAATATTTACATTTTTTGTTACAGCCTGGGAAGAAGGATCTTCTACTACATTCATTGGTCACAAATGGAGGGCAGACCAAAGTGGGTTCCAAGAAGGGAGTGTCTACAGACAAATCTGGCAAACTTCGGAATTTACCGATTGGACAAAGAAGACAGATAGAGAAAGATCAAAATGATGTCATAGAAGCATACAAGAGGCTGAAAGCTCAACGATCTGCTGGCATCAACTAGGGTATGTACATTATAATGTTGTTGGATCTTTTGTATAGATTGTTTGCCAATGTTGACAAGGATGCTACAAATCATTCTATTGTAAAATTAAAGTTGAATATTTTTCTTTAATAAAATGTACAATTTTTTGACCATAGGAAATTGTATGTATTTTTTAAATTAAACATCATATTTTTTTGTTTTTGTTTTACTATACAGTCATAGGATTAACACGAAAATAGACATATACATATATATGTGTATACATATATATCTATGTATAGCATAGGTTTTTATAGAAGAATTTTCTGTGCAAGACATATGTAGGTACTAGAAGTTTTTAAGTAAGGGTTGTTAATATAGACTTGTTCCAAACAAGAGAAAGAATAAATAAGAAAGATTCTAACAGGTTGACCCAAATTACTTTAGCACCAGTGCAATGTACTTTTGGATATAATTTAGCTTTTAGAGCTGCCTCTTAATACCTTCAACAATTTATCCAGTAGTCCATACAAATGGTTCCAGTCTCTCTTCTATTGGTAGAACATTATTCAATGTCTCTAGACTCTCCAATGTTTGAGTAAGGAGAGAACGACACTTGGTCATTTGCTTCTTAAGCTCGTGTATTTTGTTCAGTTGTTCAGCAAATTTAGCAAACTTCTTTTGCCTCTCTATTGCCAGATTCAGTAGCTTGGTAACTTCCGGTTCAATATTGATGCACAGAGCAGCTTGTTCCCCAGCAATCATTTGAGCATTAGTATTAAGGTGATGCTGATAGCGTGCACACAGATTAAACAGACCGATTGGATCCAGCCTTTCCAGGACTTCTGGGTCTCTGACACCAGGAGGCAAATTGAGGGTACCACGCATGATGGGTAGGAACATGGGGATACTTTGTAATTTAACCAAATCAGGATCCTTGTCAGCTGTAGGGTCTGCGACAGCTGGTTTCACTACTACTATGTTGTGAATTTTATCAGAGGTAGATTTCCTG